ATCCACATACAGACAACTGATTTTTGACAAAGGCAGCCATGTGCAGAATGGCACAAGACCCATGCCTCACCCCCTGCACAAAAACACACTCAGGGTGGATCAAAGGCCTAAATGCAAAACCCAACGCTATCAGGAGCATCAGTGAGAAAACTGGGACACAGCCAGGAGCCCGAGTGCAGGGCACCCACGGGCTATCAGATATAACGAGGAAACACACTCCGAGGAAGATAAAATAGATGAGGAGGACATATTAAAAATAAAACACTCGTGTACATGGAAAGAGTTCAGAAAGGAGTAAAAAGAGAGCCCACAGACTGAGAAAAGATATTTACAGTAGTGACAACATAAGAGACAAAGGACTGATTACTAAAAGCTACATCACTTTACAAGTTTACAACAAGAAAAAACTAACAGCCCTCTGAGAAGGTGGACAAAGGACCTGAACAGGTGATTCACAAGGATGACACTCGAATGGATAATCAACACATGAGGAAATGCTCCCGGTCATTAGCCATCCGGAAATGCAAGTCAAGACAACCATGAGATACCACCTAACGCCCATAGCTGTAGCCCAATTAAAAAACCTAAGAACAACAAATATTGGAGAGGGTGTGGTGAGATAGGAACTCTTAACCGCTGCTGGTAGACTTGTAAATACATACAGCCACTGTGGATGGCGAAATGGCCATACCTAAAACCGATGGCAAATGAACTACCATATGACCCAGCAATGCCATTTACTGAGCATGTACCTCAAAGAAATAAGAAAGAGAACAGACGTTTTGCCCCACCCCCACCCCACCTGCTCATGTGCATTGCAGCACAGTTCACAATAGCATTCACAATAGCAAGAAGCTGGAAACCGTCTAAATTCCCATCAATAGAAGGATGAGTAAAAACAACAACAAAAATCTCTGATACATACACACAATGGAATACTACACATCCCTAAAAAAGCAGCGACGGAACCATGAAACACCTCAAGGCGTGGAGGGATCTGGAAGACATTATGCCGAGTGAAGTTAGTCAAGCACAGAAGGGCAAGCACTGTCTGAGTCCACTACAGCGGGAACAAGCAGCAGAATGGGCACAAGCTCCAGCTTCTGACCGGGGACCAGACAGCCTGGTAGAGAGCCGGACCAGTGCCAGTGAACCACACATCACCGCTCCAGGGAAGTGTGGTGAAGGCCACTTGCCTGGAGGGCGCCTCACAGCAGCTGGGATCAAAGGGTCAGGGGAGCGGGCAGGATGCGGTCTGCTGAGTGGTAGCCAGGTGGATCTGGGGTGAAGCCCCTCAGAGAGGGAGGTAGTCCTGTCAGAGAGATGAGGCTTACAGATGGGAGGGGCAGCACAGAAGAGGGAAGAGGGAACAGTCAAGTTTAGGTGAACACAGGTGCATGTCTGTTGAAGGGAGTGAAAGAGGGCTGACCTCCAGGTGGGGGGAGGAGAAACTGAGGATGCTCTGGGGAACAATAGGTGG